GGGCGACGTCCTCCTTTGCATGTGAGGCATATTAGTTCAATGATGCTGTCCCGATTGTCCGTGCATCCTGGGGTGGCGCATGCGAGCTGTCGAGCAGGACTGTGCGGGCACATCTTCTTGGCATGGGAGTGGCATTGCGGAAGCAACAGTGAATCATGCTGTTTGGATGACCTGACATGCGAGGGGCAGCCGAGGGCGGCGAATCGACACGGCACGCAGCCATTCAGCCTGATGACTTTTTCACGGACAACAGGCGGCACCCGGCGCGTGCATTCCGGCGGGGTGCCCATTCCCGGGTGCTGTTATGACACGGGTCCATGTAGTGTTGCATGCAGAATGTACAGTGGACGAGTCTTTCGCCTCTGCGGAACGGTGGAGCAACAGGGGCGTCGCAGTCCAGACGAGCACACAGCGTTTGAGAATCGAGGCATCGAGAACAGTACAGTTGTCTCTTCCCTTTCGGGCGTGCTTGCTGCCCAGTGCAGATGGGGGAATCAGCGCAAGCATGTTTGGGGTTGGCTGTGGCCGCTGGCGGCATGGCGACCGAGCGCGGCGAAGCGCAGGCGCCGAAGGCTGGAGCGAGAAACTTGAGCCACCAGCAGCTGCGGTGCGGCATCATCAATGTGCGCCTGGGGTCACACTGGGGAGGATGCGGAAGTTTCAACCTTGAACGGCCCGCCCCAGGCGCCCCCCCTTCGCCGCTTCCCGCGGCCGGGGGGGCGCCTCGGGTCACCCTGGGGAGGATGCCGAAGTTTCAGCCTTAAACGGCCCGCCCCGGGCGCCCTCCCTTGGCTGCTTCCCGCGGCCAGGGGGGCGCCTCGGGTCACCCTGGGGAGGGTGGGGAGGGCGTGGAGGTTTCAACCTTGAAGCCCGCCCCGGTCGCCCCTCTTGACCGCTTCCCGCGGCCAGGGGGGCGCCTCGGGTCACCCTGGGGAGGATGCGGAGGTTTCAACCTTGAACGGCCCGCCCCGGGCGCCCCCCCTTGACCGCTTCCCGCGGCCGGGGGGGGGGCGCTTCGGGTCACCCTGAAGAAGATGCGGAAATCTAAAGGCTGCCGCCTCTGCCGCCGACCCCATATATATATATATATATATATATATATATATATATGTTTTTTTTTCGCGGCGCTAATTAGTAGAGTGCTGGTTCCATGTGGAGGAGGAGAGCGGGGGGCAGCAAGGAGGCGGAGAAGGAGGGGGTTACGGAGGAGGAGAAGGAGGAGGAGGAGAAGAAGCGGATGGAGGATCAGGGGGAGGAGAAGGAGGCGGTCACGGAGGAGAAGGAGGATATTACAGCGGAGAAGGAGGAGGACTAAGAGGAGGTCACGCAGGAGGAGCAGGAGGAGGTCACGACGTGGTTCATGGATGCAGAGAAGGACGATGTTACGGAGGACCTTATTCGCTGAATCCTTCAGCCCAGAATGCTGGTGGGGCACCTGGGGGCATCACATCGATCACAGTAACGATATGACGATCGACTTCACAATCGATCTCATTCAACAGGACACCACGGGACACCTGTCGATCTCATTATCGATCTCACTATCGATCTCATTTTTGGGGACACCACGGGACCACGGGATGCGGGTGTCGGGACGTGGTGGGAGCGGGGGGGGGGGCGTCGGTGGGTTCCGGGCGAGAAATTGCGGGATGGGGAGGTCTCAAGAACAGAGCTGCCGTGCATGGGGGTGTCGGGACGTGATGGGAGCGTGGGGGGGCGTCGGTGGGTTCCGCGCGAGACATTGCGGGTTGGGAGGCCCAGGAACAGTGCCGCCGTGCATGGGGGTGTCGTGGTGGGAGCGTGAGGGGGGGCGTCGGTGGGTTCCGGGCGAGAAATTGCCGGCTGGGGGGTCCCAAGAACGGAGCTGCCGTGGATGGGGGTGTCGGGACGTGGTGGGAGCGCGGGGGGGGGACGTGGTGGGAGCGTGGGGGGGGGCGTCGGTGGGTTGCGGTCGAGAAATTGCGGGCTGGGGGATCCCAAGAACGGAGCTGCCGTGGATGTAAGTGTGGGCACGGGGTGGGAGCGTGAGAGAGGAGCGTCGGTGGGTTGCGGGTGAGAAATTGCGGGCTGGGGGGTCCCAATAACAGAGCTGCCGTGGATGGGCGTGTCGGGACGTGGTGGGAGCGTAGGGGGGGGCGTCGGTGGATTCCGGAGGAGAAATTGTGGGCTGGGGGGGTCCCAAGAACAGAGCTGCCGTGGATGGAGGTGTCGGGAAATGGTGCGAGCGCGGGGGGGGCGCCGGTGGGTTCCGGGCGAAAAATTGCGGGCTGGGGGGTCCCAAGAACAGAGCTGCCGTGGATGCAGGTGTCGGGGCGTGGTGAGAGCGTGGGGGGGGGGGGGGGGGGGGCGCTGGTGGGTTCCAGGCGAGAAATTGCGGGTTGGGGAGTCCCAAGAACAGAGCTGCCGTGGATGGGGGTGTCGGGACGTGGTGGGAGCGTGGGGGGGAGGCGTCGGTGGGTTCCGTGCGAGAAATTGCGGGTTGGGAGGTTCGAAGAACAGAGCTGCCGTGGATGGGAGTGTCGGGACGTGGTGGGAGCGTGGGGGGGGGCGTCGGTGGGTTCCGGGCGAGAAATTGCGGCGTGGGAGGTCCCAAGAACGGAGCTGCCGTGCATGGGGGTGTCGGGACGTGGTGGGAGCGTGGGGGGGGGCGTCGGTGGGTTCCGGGCGAGAAATTGCGGTGTGGGGGGTCCCAAGAACGGAGCTGCCGTGGATGGGGGTGTCGGGACGCGGTGGGAGCGCGGGGGGGGGCGTCGGTGGGTTCCGGGCGAGAAATTGCGGGGTGGGAGGTCCCAAGAACGGAGCTGCCGTGGATGGGGGTGTCGGGGCGTGGTGGGAGCGTGGGGGGGGGGCGTCGGTGGGTTCTGGGCGAGAAATTGCGGGTTGGGGGTCCCAAGGGCAGAGCTGCCGTGGATGGGGGTGTCGGGACGTGGTGGGAGCGCGGGGGGGGCGTCGGTGGGTTATCGGGGGCGAGAGGAATTGCAGGGTGGGGGGTCCAAGAACGGAGCTGCGTGGATTGGGCGTCGGGGGTTGGTTGGGGCGTGGGGTGGGGGGCCGGCGGCGGGGGGGGGGGTTTTCGGGCGGTACCGCGCGAGAAATTGCGGGGTGGGAGGTCAGGACGGAGCTGCCAGTGGATGGGGCGTCGGCGACTGGGGACGTGGTGGGAGCGTGGGGGGCCTGGGCGTCGGTGGTTTCGAGGCGAGAAATTGCCGGTTGGGAGGTCCCAAGAACAGAGCTGCCGTGAGTGGGGGTGTCGGGACGTGGTGGGAGCGTGGGGGGGGGCGTCGGTGGGTTCTGGGCGAGAAATTGCGGGTTGGGGGTCCCAAGAGCAGAGCTGCCGTGGATGGGGGTGTCGGGGCGTGGTGGGAGCGTGGGGGGGGCGTCGGTGGTTCCGGGCGAGGAATTGCGGGTTGGGGGATCCCAAGAACGGAGCTGCCGTGGATGGGGGTGTCGGGACGTGGTGGGAGCGTGGGGGGGGGGGCGTCGGTGGGTTCCGGGCGAGGAATTGCGGGTTGGGGGATCCCAAGAACAGAGCTGCCGTAGATAGTGGTGTCGGGGCGTGGTGGGAGCGTGGGGGGGGGGGGGGCGTCGGTGGGTTCCGAGCCCAGGCATGTTGGAGTCGTGCCGTTGGTTATGTCGTGATTTGTTGTGATTGTGTTGATTTTGCAGATATCCTGGCTGTGACACGGTTTTGCGCTCCACTTTACCAAACCTCCTCCTCCTCCTCCTCCGAGGTTCCTCCTCCTCCTCCTCCTGGTAAAGCCCGCAACAGCCCAGCACGGGTCCAAAACAACCCCCCTAGACACTGAACCTCCTCCAGCTGTTCCTCCTCCGCTATTCCTCCTCTCCTCTACCCCCCCCCGCCTCGACGACGACGACGCCGCCGACGCCGACACAGACCACGACGACGATGACGGCGACGACGAACATGCTGACCACGACGCCGCCGCCGCCGCCGACGACGACAAAAACCGCGGTGGCGGCGGGGGCGGCAGGGGGGGGGGGAACTCGGGGCCAGGAAACTTGCTGCACGCTGCTGGCTTCGGCCCCGCCGCCGAGCGTTCTCCTCGATACATGGTCGCCTCCGGTTCTGCTGCATGTCGCAGATTCCCTAACCCGCCCTTTACTGATACCCCTGCGAGCGTCGTCCTCCCCGAGCGTCGCCGCTTTGCAACTCTCTCTCGCCGAGCTCCGCGCAGCCGCTGGGGGGGCTGCCGCCTCCTTGGGCTTCTAGGGGCGGCTGCAGGCGTCGAGGTGGCAATTCGTCACGGGTTCTGGTTTCTGCGGCCGGCTCGCAGAGGGGGTTGTCTCCCAGGGGGCTCGGGAAAAATGCAAGTGTCAGAGCGCAGGGAGGGACCCCCTCCTCCTCTTGGTCCTCCCCTTCCTTTCCTCCTTCCATGGCCATTTCGGCCCCTGCCGTCCGTCCTCCTCCACCGTCTTTTGCATGCCTTTGCAAGCGGCATGGTGCTTCGTGCGAACCGCTGACCGGTTTAGATTGGGGGCGGATCGGCGGTATGTGCTGCATTCGCATGTGTTCCCAGCGGGGGTGCGAGCTGCCTTGACAGGATCGCCCTTCCTTGGACATCTCGGGCCCGATCATTCTGCTGATGAGTTCTCGGACCAGCTGGCCAACCTAGAGGGCCACGTCTTAAGCCTGATATTGGTGGCCCTCACGGCAAACATCCCCTTCCGTCCCCTGAATGCGAACTAAACTGAATTCGATTAGTTTTTCGTTGTCGCTTTGCCGCCCTCTTGGCCCTCTTCTCCCCCTTGGCATGTGTTGTTTTACTTCTGGTTTGGGCCCCCAACAAATATGAGGAGCATCGTTTTAAAACAACGCCAGTGGAAGTTGTGCGAGATGTTTGCCGGTACCCAGGTGAAGGAGCTCTGGAGTCCATCCCCGCTTACGTATTTAACAGACGAGCAAATATTACACCAAGATCTCAGGCGGCGGCTTGGCGTGAAAGATCCATTGTTTTTGTTTCGAGGTTGTCGATGTGGCAATGTTGCAGCAGCCTTGCCGGGTATTTCAGCATCTGGGGGGGGCGCGCCCACGGGCTACATTTTTTCAAATGAGCGTGGCATCGCGGCGACGCCTGGGCGACGCCATTTTTGATGGAGACCGCAACGTTGAGCAAACTTTTAATGCATGGGCAGCCCGGCACGGGCAGCTCTTGGATGGTGATGCAAACGACGTTGGACAGCTTCGATGTTGCATCGCGCTACACGTGCCGACAGCTGTGCTGATATCTGAAGGCAAATGGAGATCTTTTTGTATCCCCTGGACGACGGGCAAACATGGCGGTGGCGCAGGCTTCCACCTAGTTCGGCATATCATGTTGGGTGACCGGCCAGAAGTCGATGATAATGAGGATGATCAGAACCCTGCGCATGTTTTGTCGCCCGATTTGCTTCAGGGCTTGATCAACACAATGCAGCTCTTGGTCCAGAACAATCCTTTGCAAGCCAACGATGTGACCTTCTATGTTGATTGGGCCCAGCGGCTGAGGACTGACATGGTGCGCCACTCCCACATGCGCGGTGAGAAAGCGTACCGCATGGAGCACCTCATCAACTGTCTGATGCTAGCAGCTTTGGGCAAGGATGCGCATCGGCTTCGCGATACCGTCGCACGCGCCCTCGCAGCGTCGGTGATTCAAGACAGTGTGCGACAATACTACAGAAATATCCTAGACGAACCCCGTCGAATACCTTCGGCCACAAGCATTTATCGACACCGCCTCACAGTTCATTTGGGATTCTGCCGCCTGGTCGCTGAGCACACCGAAGAGCTTTTGAATGGGCCAGGCGGCGCGTGCAGGTGGGGCACGTTGGACAGCAGCCAGCAAGCGAACCACGATCTCCTCTACCACGGCAGCGTCACCATGGCCGCATATGACTTGTCTGCTCGGTTTGAGGATGCGCTGGAAGTGATTCGCATGGCCGCCCTTCCTCCAGATCAGCAAGATGGTTCTTTGCAAGTCCGCTTTGGACGTTTGGCTTCGGCTTTGAAGCTTCGTGCTGGGGTGCCAGTCGGAGTGGGCTCTGGCAAGAGCTCGCTGCGGCGCAAGATGCATGCTCTTGTTCACGGCTGCCGCCTGACATCCTCATCGTGGAAGGGGGCGGCAAGACTCATCACATCGACCTTCGCTTGGACTGGCGACCTGGGCACTGAATCGGGCATCGCGCAGTTCGCCGAGAGCATGCGCACCTTGTTTGGCGAGTGGGTCGTCCAAGCAGATGCCCCTCCCGGCGCCTCGACCGGGCATGAGTGAAATACCCAGTGCAAGTATGCTGACACTTGCCTCCTTCGCTGGCTGAGAGGCGGGCCTGAGTGGCCTTAGAGGTTGCCCCCGCTCTGGGCCTCTCGGAGTCCACATTCTCGGCCCTGCAAGGATGGAGCGCAGCTTACCAGCATTGCCGCAGGTACCAGACGAAGGCAATTTCACATTTGGCATCGACGAGTCAATGGCAGCTGGCGCCGACGATGGCGGCTACGACGTCGATGGCCTTGCAGCTGGACCATGTGATTTTATTTTCGAGGAGCACGCTGGCCAGGCGAACGAGGGTGGCGCTGGCGACGGGGGCGACGGCGAACATGAAGCTGATGGAGATTTTCCTAGACCACCAGACCCGTACGACGTGAACTGCTGCACCAGCATTTACGTGCCTGGCATGCTGCACATCGTTAGCAACATCACGAGAGATCTGTCTGCTCATTTGGAGTGGTACTCGCAGTTTCTTGCATATCTTACTCATGTTTGTCGCATGTTGAGCAGATCGTGGACGCGCGAGCGTTTCAAAGAAACTTGCCTGAGAGTGCCTCATGCTTTTCAGCATTTTGGCTTCTTCGATGGATTCAACACTCACGTTCAAGAAGGGCGCTGGGGCACCGTCGTACATGCAGTGGGCGACCTTTTGCCCGGCGAGCAGATCCTGCGCCAATTCTGGTCGCTGGCTGCTTACAACCAAGCTGGCGGGCTGCGCGAGGATGGCAACGATGGCGAGGGCGAGGGCCACGGTGTGAGAATGCATGTCGTGGATGAGGGGATCAACAGTCCACTATGTTGGGTCTACTGTTTCATGATCGATACTGTTGGGGAGCTCCTTGAACATTTATCGAATTTATCCGAGACCTGCCCGTGCCATCGTGGCGCGTTGCGACTGCGAGGGCTGGCGCGGCACGCGCGACGGCAGCAACTCCAACAAGACACATCGCAAACAACGTGCCCCCTTGCAGGAATGATGGCTCCAGAATTCGCTGCTGGAGAACACATCAGAATTACCCGTGGCTTGGCCCAGACGTCTCAAGGTTTCGGATGGGGGAGGGCCGCGTGCCCGTTCACGCGCATGTAGCGGCCGATGGAAGCAATTCGTTTACTGTTATGCGTATATGATATGGTGCAGATACACGCGCACATTGTATGTGCGTATATGTGTGGGTTTGGGAAATGTGCACATCTGCATGAACATGTGTATGCATGTGCGCATCTGGGTGTCCACGGCTGCTACGTGCATGATCTGTGCGCGGGAGTTAGTATTCTAGACCACCCGCATGGGCGCGAAGATAATTGCGCTTCGCGCTTCGCGGCCTGAACTGGAGCGTTGCGTTTCCCTGGGGTGGCCGCGCGCGAGCGCGAAGATAATCGCGCTTCGCGCAAAAAGCGGCGCGCCCTCCTCCGCCCGAGGTCCCGAGGTGCCATCGCCTTGCATGCAGGCTTTCTGGCATTATGCGCCAATGATCGCGCGACTGTACTGAATGATTTCGGGCGCGCGCGCCGCTACATCTTGTTTGCGATGCAGCTTAAATGCAGTTTCTGGCGGCAACTCCCTCATGTGCTGTTTGGGCTCGCCCACTCCAATGATGAGGTAGCACGGGCATGCGGGGGGAGGGCTCTTCAGTTGTATCAGGGCGCCGGTGGCCAAGCTCAACATCATTGCCACTCACACTTCATGCTCTCGCCACTCGGCCCAGGCCGGGCGCAGGTCATAGACTTCGTGGGCCGTCGGGCTCGTCGACTAGACTTGCCATTTCTTTCCAGGCAGTGTGGGCGGCATCGCTTGACGAGCGTCTGCGAGCGCTGGATCGAAGGGCGGCATGCGCAAGCACAGGCCCTGGGCGTTGACATCTTCTTTTTTGGGAGGGGGGCCAGGGGGTGGGGCCCTGGGGCGCAGGAAAGTGGCGAAGTTGCGCTCTTGGCAGCGCCCGCCACGACACTCCGCTAGACGTCCCTGGGCGCACGAAAGAGGCGACAGGTGCTGGGGGCAATTGCGATCAGGGCAGCGCCCCGGGGAGGGAGCCGACAAGAGCAAGCAGAGAGGAACAATTCGCTAAGGGATCGGAAGGAGAGGAGGGGGAGGAAGGGAGGAACATAATTGGACTGGACGCGTCTACAATGCGAGGGCCAAACAACGCGGTACGTTCATCTATTGGGTGGTAGCGCCTGCGCGCAACAAAATAGGGCCAATCACAATATGATGCAAACACCCGTCACCCAAAAAGCTGCGGCCTCGCATTCGGTACAACAAGTGATCCACTCAAAACGAGGACCCAGACCCAAACCCCAATATGACTAGGTGGCAATGATCGCACGTGCTCCTGCACGTACCACGATACAATCACATGAGCATTGCATTGCCAGATCCATCGTGCGTGCATCTGAACAATCACGATTGCTTTGGCCTCGGCGGCCACGGCGATGGCCTGCTCAGCCTTCGCATCGACGCCATCGACCTTGGACGCGAGGTTGGTGAACTCCGCCCGCCCAATTCTTCTTATCGATCTTTTTTTCAGGAAGCTGAAACATTGGCATTCGTAACGTGCTGCTGTTCTTCGCACCGCTCACACCAGCCATCGGGATCACACCGGCCACGCGCAGCTCACACAGGATTTATATGGGCACCGCAAGGCTCGGCTCTGACTGACGCTTGAAATGTGGGTGCGTTTGCTGCGGCTTGAAATGTGGGTACGTTTGCTGCGGCTTGAGCCCTTGAGCCCTTGAACCAAAATGGCTTGAGACAAAATGGCTACGGTGATGGTGATGGTGATGATGGTGATGATGACGACGATGATGATGATGATGATACTGATGATGATGCTGATGATGATGATGATGATTATGATGATGATGATGACGATGATGATGATGACGATTGCGATGGCGATGGCGACGACGACGATGACGATGAGGAAGGGCTGTTTGGGGCTCCTGTGGGGAGCCCCTTGGGGACTTCTCGGGCCGTTTTGAGGCCTCTTGGGCCGTCTTGGGGCTCTCTTGGGCAGTCTTGGGGCCCTCTTGGCCGTCAGAGGGGGCCTCTTGGGGCCGTCGTGGAGCCGTCGAGCGGCCTTCTCACGCCGTCTTGGGGCCCGAGCGGGGACGAGGGGAAAAGGGGCGTAACGGGCGACGCGCGCGTGTCACCCGTTACGGCGTGGAAGCGGCCCTCCTGGGGGCCGTCCTGGGGGGGGCTCTCTCACAGCGTGATCCGTCTTTTCGCCTAGCACTGTGGGCGCAGCCTCCTGGTCGCAAAATGCGTCTCGATAGGAACTGGGTTCTCGGCTCGTAAAGTGACTTCGTTTGTATTCGTACACGAACAAGTATTTGGCGTCACCTTACAGGCGCACTTGAGGTCGGTCCGTCACAGCTCTGCAGTTCACACCGCCTGGACGGCTTCGGTTCCATTGCTAGAGGCCTTCTTGAATGTCGACCCCCGCAATTTGCAGAGGTTAGCGACGCTATGCATCCAAGTTCGGAATCCAAGGACGGCAATGGAGACCATGGGGATGAACCAACATCCAGTGTACTCCGAAATATTGGAAGAGCAAAAACACGATCTTGCTTCGCTCAACCGTTGGGTTCGCCCCTGGATCACGGAGTTGCTGTACCACGTTGACTCTGGAACATTGTACATGGACTTGCCGCCGCCAATGCCCTTGCCACCCCTGCCGTGGGATGGCGGGGGAGGCGGTCCGGGCGGTGGAGGTGGCGGCGGTGGCGATGGGCCGCCCCCCCCTCCTCCTCCGCAGTTGGGCGCAAGCGGCGGCCCGGAGGGGGGCGGCGGTGGCGCTTGGGCCGGCAACAACGGTTCGTCTGGGTCTGGCGGCTCGGGGGGCCCGGGCTGCGGCAGCGGCGGCTCAGGAGGGGCCGCTCCGGCTGGTGGGGGCGGCGGCGGCGCTGGCAGTGGCGGCGCTGGCAGCGGCGGCCCTGGCGGAGGCAGTCCATGGGGGCGCAGGCGATGGAGGCGGCGGCGACCAAGGCATCGCCAGCACGTTTAGCAAACCACCATCGGACAAAAACCATTCCCAGAACGAGGTGCACGACAAATTGTGGGTCAAGTATGCAGTTTCGCATTTACGAGATCTGATTCAGCATGATTCAAAGAAAGAGTTCGTTTTTTCCATTGGGCCGAAGCTCTCGACTGCGACAGACTTCTTCCTCACGCCTCTAGCAGAACTCGTGAACCCGAGCCCCCTGAGCGACGACATCCTTGGGGTGCGCGCAGAAACAGGTGCGCCTGCATTTGACTTTTTCGATTGCACCTGGGATTGTGGATGATGCGGGCTCAACACATCACGACAAGAACGAATTTACAGGCGATGTAACTTTCTTCCGAGTTTTGGATTTGCACTTTGCCAGTCGGCCTGTTTGTCCTGGAGCCCCTAAGGTTGAACAAACCGATGCTATGGTGGTGCAGATGGCAAGTGTACGTTTTATTGGTGTGAAGACAAAGTGTGTGTATCTAGATCTGGAATGTCAAGATGGCTCAGCGTCGGAAGATTTCCATCTTTTCACTGGCGGAATGCTAAGCTTCACCGACATAAGCAAAATGTGGTTGTGGAGAGTTGAACCTCACGTACATGCTGATTTCGGCTTGCCCCCGCGGTCGATTCCACCAGCTTTGCAGGAGCAAATGCAGGATGTCATCAACGAGCTGCTGAAGAACTTCCCCGGTACATACACGCTTCTTCCTGGCCATCAAAATTATGAGAAGCGGTTGGCATGCATGCAATTTCTCAAAGGGGGCGGCCAAGTTATCGAAAAGGAAGGTGGACTCAACGAGTGGAGATTGACGGAGGAAGCCCGTGCCAGTATTCACTTCACTAATGTATTGAACCGTCGCGAGGCTGTGCTGAGGGCTCGTGAGGGCGTGCCTCACCTAGAGAAGTAGAGAAGAACGTGTTCGAACTTCTGTGGACGTTGCGATCGGAGGGGTGGGCCTGCCTTATCAAGCCAATGAAGAAACCTAAAGAACACAAATACGATAAAAAGGAGCTCATGTTACCAGTTGATTTCAAGGCTGGGCAGCCGAAAGTGTGGTGGGTGAAGCCAGAACAAAAGACAGTATTCCGTTCCTATCTTCAGTGCTTGCTATTGGTTGATGAACACAAGCAGCAGGTTCCACATTTTAGGAGCCAGCGATTCTACGCGCGCTTGCTGGAAGGCCGCCCATACGAGAAGAAGACCGCGAAACAGCTCTTCAAATTCCATCGGCCGGGCTTTGAAGAAAGCGAGGCGGACGCGCCTCCGAACAAGACAGAAGCTAGGGGGAAGACGCAAGCGCCCAAACCCCGAAAAGAAGTCACGTCAGGGGCTAGGTCGCGTGATGCCAGTGAGGCAAGCAGCGATGGCATCGGGAGCAGCCCGTTCGAGTCCGAGCTGTCCTTCGATGCAGAGGGCAACTCAATTCTGTGCGCTTCCTCGTGTGAGTCTGGCGGCATCTCCGACGATGGCGGTGTCCATGCTGGGTTTACCGAACCAGCTGCCAAGCCAGCTGCTGGGTCTGCTAAACCAGCTGCTGCGCCAACTGTTGGGGGCAGCGGGGCAGGCGGCGGCGCCGGCGGGGTCCCGCTCGAGAGCACATTTTATTGGAGAGGCTGCAGATTCACGCAAGTCGAGCGCGATGGCCGCGTGGTCGGCTATCAGGCCACTTGCTTGATCCAAGAGCACGATGACAAGAGTTGCACCAGGAGCAGGTACTTCTCGGCCCATGGCGGTGAGAATAGAGTGTTACGGATATTGAAATGTTGGTGTTTGGCTGGCCATCAAGTTGGGGTCAATGCCGCGCAAGTACATCAGGACCTCCCAGATCCTGATCCCGCCTCTTTGCCGACTCTGGTGGAATTGCAATTGAAGGAGGTGGCCGAAAAAGCTTCTAGCAAACCGTGCAATCGAAAGAGGCGCCGTGAGACATGAACTTTTCGACGTCGAGGCTGCAGCGCATCGCGCAACATTGAGTTCGGAAAAAATATGGAAAATGACTTTGGCTTCGCCTTCTCCCGCTGGGCCGGGCCCCGGGGGGCCCGAGAATGCCCCCAAAACGCCTGATGATGATGACGACGACGATGATGACGATGATGATGATGATGATGATGCTGCTGATGATGATGAGGATGATGATGATTATTATTATGATGATGATGATGATGATGACAACGGTAACTACGACTGCGGCGACCTTCCTAACGCTTCGCGTATCCCCCCCCAGCCCGGGCAGCCTTGTCAGACAGTCAGACGCGATGCCCAGCGGAGTTGCCCTGATCGGGGGAGCGCGGCATCACGTGGAGGCCTCGGGGGAGCTTTTATTTTCCAAAGGGCAGGGGGCGAGGGGTCCAAGGGCGGCCCGAGGATTTCCCCCCCCTCCCCGAACCCGTCTCAACCGTCCTTGCACAAACGTGTAGCAAACCTATTGAAGCTGCGCCCGCCGAATCCACCGTAGCCAATGAATGGCAGTGATATCGCCCTCGGCCCGCCCGTAGCGTCT